TCCTAAAGTGTCTCAAAAAAGCTATTAGAACTGGTAAACAAGTTTCTTACAGCAATATACAAACACCAATTGTATTTCTGTATACAATGAGAAATTGTATCAAAAAATCAAATATTTAAAAATAAATTCAGCAAAATATATATGAACAGCACTGGTGGCAGTGAAGTTTCAGGTTTCAGGTGGAAGTATGATTTCATTATATGTCAGCCTGCAATGAAATGGCAGCTTAAGACTGTTTTTCTGCTGTGTTGGGAACACAACAATCTAAACAAAGGACAAAGGTGGATAGCATAGGTCAGTGGTCGGCAAACACCACTAGCGAGCCACATGCGGCTCTTTGCCCCTTGAGTGTGGCTCTTCCGCAAAATACCACGTGCGGGCACACACGTACAGTGCGATTGAAACTTCGTGGCCCATGCGCAGAAGTCGGTTTTCGGCCTGGGCGAGTCTATTTTGAAGAAGTGGCGTTAGAAGAAGTGGGCGGTGTCTGTCGGTCGGTCGGGTGCAGGCGGGCCTCGGGATACACAGCACAGGGGAGGCGTGCGATTCATGCAGGAGTTGAGTGAGCCAGTCAGTCAGCAGTCACATTGTGCAGTGGTTAGTGCTAGTTGCGTCCGCAAATCGCGCGCGCACGTGGGTGACAAAAGTACCTACTCGAAGCATAAAGTTACCTGTATTTTTCCAACCAGCTGCAAATCCTATCGGTATTTTTGTCATCAATTTAAGAATTGTAATTCTTTTGTGTTGGTGGCTTTATTATTATAAAATGAAACATTTTTTAGGTGCCCTGTTTGAGATGGCTACAAAGAAGAAGCAAAGAAAAACGGAAGACGAAAACCGTGAATTTAAAGTTGAATTTAAAGTTGAATGTACCTACCTATATAGTTTAAGTTTAAAAAATTTGGCTCTCAAAAGAAATTTCAATCGTTGTACTGTTGATATTTGGCCTGTTGACTAATGAGTTTGCCGACCACTGGCATAGGTTAAAAGGGCTGGGCTGTGATGGATATTGTCCCTTCACCCCCGTACATCTACTGTTCACCCTGCTCTGTGCCTCAGGAGGTGGATATTAGTTTATGCACTGCTTCACTTGGGGTTTTGTGCTCTCTGGCTTGCAATTAAATTTAGCCAAAAGTGGGAGGAGAATCGTAGAGTGACCAATTTTCCTGATTTGCCCCCAACAGAGGAGCTGCTCAGGATGTGGGACTTTCAGTGCTAAATCCTAAGCAAACTGGGATGAGTTGGTTACCCTATGAGTGGTTCTCAACCTTCTGGCCCTTTAAATACAGTTCCTCATGTTGTGACCCAACCATAAAATTATTTTTGTTGCTACTTCATAACTGTAATGTTGCTACTGTTATGAATCGTAATGTAAATATCTGATATGCAGGATGGTCTTAGGCGACCCCTGTGAAAGGGTCGTTCGACCGCCAAAGGGGTCGCAACCCACAGGTTGAGAACCGCTGTCCTACATCCTGGCTTCCCTCACATCCTGGCTTCCCTCTTCCTGGGCCAGGAATTGGAAGTAATTGTGTTTCTTTTAGCAAAGGCCACAGCTCCTATTGGGCAGCTCTATCCTATAGCTACCCACTCTAGGATCTGGTAATCAATCTCTCCCCTTGTAACTAAGACCTAAAGGTAGTAACTGCTCATCATTGTTTGTCTCCAGGCTGTTCTCCATCCCTTGTTGATTTCTGTGACCCTGCCCATCTTTTTCATGAAACTTTGAGTTACCCCAATTGAATGAGCCCACTGTCTTCTGCTAGAATACTGACTGATACATCTGGTTTATTTTTTCCATAATCACTATTACTACCTGATACTATACTGTATATTTATTTATTTCCTGTTTTCCCCACTAGAATGTAAGCTCCTTGAGGGCAAAGTCTTGTCTGTTCAGTTCACTGCTATATCCCTCACACTTAGAGCAGTGCCTGGCACAGAGTAAACCCTCTCAATAATAATAATATTATTTGGACAATAATAATAAGCTATGATCTTATTAACTAATAAGCATTTATCAACAATAAGTATTTGTTGAATAGTTAAATTATTTGAAGGATACATAAATGTTAGAGACTATCTCTCAATAGATTTGCAGGTTATTTAAACTTTCTGTTTTGTGTCTTTCTACATTTTATAAATGCACTTTTGTATATAACTATAATTAAAAATGTTATTTTATATACACTCTAAGAGAAACAAACAGATGCAATATAATATGTATACCAATTTATGTAAAACTTTAAGGAGGAGGCCCAGTGATTCTCAGGAAAGATGAGAACTAGAGGCCTTAGAACAGATTCTTAAAGACAAATTCTAAATACAGGATAAATAATATAAAATAAATAAAGATGCTCCAAAACTAAAAAGAGGCAGAAGATGTAGAGTAAAAGAAAGGGATAATAGAAGTTGAATTTCTTAGAAAAAACACAGCAGCAATGGGAGAACCAAAATATGATGTGAAAATGAGACCCTGTAGGACATCTGAACAAAGTTTGGGTCAGAATTATTATACTAAAAATAACAGGGGCTACTATTTATAAAGAACTTAGTACCAGCCAGGTCTGTTCTCAGGGTTTATATATAGGATCTCAGCTAGAGCCTGTGGTGCTTGTTATAGTAATAACTAGAGGCCCGGTGCATGAAACTCGTGCATGGGTAGGGTCCCTAGGCCTGGCTGGCGATCAGAGCCGATCTTTGGGGCGACTGGTGGAGCAATTGGGGGGCCCCACTGACGCCCGCCTTGGAGGGGCCCAGCGGGGCGATTGGGGGGTGGGGGAGTTCCGCTGGCACCTGCCTTGGCTGGCCTGGGGCCTGCGGGCTGGGGGCAGCTCCTGTGTTGAGCATTTGCCCCCTGGTGGTCAGTGCACATCATAGTGACCAGTCATTCCATTGGTCGTTCCACTGTTCAGTTGCTTTGCATATTAGGCTTTTATTATATAGGATGGGCCCCACTGAATCCTGTTCCCCCAGTATCTAAATCCTTGTGTAGTTCTCACCCACAATGACTCTGGAACTGGTTATGTGACTTGCTTGGTGAATGACATATTAACACATGTAACACAAACAGGTTAGAAAGTGCTTTGCCTCCCAGGGCTTGGCCTCTGTCTGAGTTTGGAACTAGCTGCCCTGTGAAAGAGTCTGGACTAGTTTGCTAGAGATACGTACATGGCCCAAGCCATAGAAAGCACCAACAGCCAACATGTGTCACTGATACCGGCTTAGACCTGCCCTAGCTGAGCCACTAGACCCCTGCATGAGTGATCTCAGCCAAGACCTGAAAATAAAACTGCCCAGCTGAACCCAGCCCAACCTGATGACCTACAGACCCAAGGGAAATAACACGGTTTAAAAATGCCTGATCTTCGATGTCTCTCTCTCATCGATGTTTCTGGCTCTGTATCCCTCCCCCTTCCTCTCTGTAAAAAATCAATAAAATATATTTAAAAAAAAAAAAAAAAAAATGCCTGATCTTTTAGGTCACTGTTTTGAGGTCCCTTTTTCTGGAATAATAGATAGACATGATCCTCAAAAGAACCTCCAAGACATGAATTAGTATGTACGTATACTAATGAGGAAACATAATCATAAAAATAAAGTAACTTGCGCCCTAACTGGTTTGGCTCAGTGGATAGTCGCCCTGTGGACTGAAGGGTCCCATGTTCGATTCCGGCCAAGGGCACATGCCCGGGTTGCAGGGCATGCAAGAGGGAGCCAATCAATGATTCTCTCTCATCATTGATGTTTCTCTCTCTCTCTCCTTTACCCTTCCTCTCTGAAATCAATAGAAATACATTTAAAAAAAAGAAAGAAAAGATTTTAAAAGGGGAGTATCAAATACTGACAGATCGGTGATAAGGTGACTATAATGGGGAAAACGGATGATTTGAGGACTTAAAGGAGGAAGGCGTTCCATGAGAATGTGAGTGCCAGAGTTCACAAGAACGTCACGTGACTGTGCTCGCGCTGCAGAGCTGGTACTGCCTGGTAGTGACGCGTGGGCGATGCAGCATGCCGGTCACACTGATGACACGGATAGAGCAATGGTGACCCCCAAACCACCGAGAGAGAGAGAGAGAGAGAGAGAGAGAGAGAGAGAGAGAGGGCGAGCGCACTGCTTCTCACCTGACAGCAGCTGGTGGTCCTGGGATTCGGAATTGAACGGTACCTCCATGGGCTGCGACCGGCCCCCTGGCCCCCCAGGAGCGCCCGGAGCGTCAGCATGGCCTCGGGAAGCTTTTCTGGTCCAGGTCGGGCTCCGAGACCCGGGGGCAACTGGCCACCGCAGAGCTGGGGAGCGAACCCCTGCGGAGCCCGGAGACAGAATTCCTGACACTGGGCTACCAAAAACGTCCTCTGGATGCAAAAGAAATAAAGGAGGAAACAAAACCTCCTATTTACATGTACTCAGCTTCCTCTCCCCCCAGGCAGGCGTCAGGCATTGCCCCTCGGGGAGCTGGATTCCCCGTTCCCAGCCCAGCGACCTTCCAGCCCCACTGGGGTGAATGGCAGCCACGTCAGGTAGAGCCGGGAAGACCAGGCACCGCGCTCCTCGCTTCCCGGCCTAGTCCCAGCCCCACCCCTGGTCCGGCTCATCACCGTCTGTCCTCTCTTCCTCCCGCATGGAGCTGGTTCGCGCGGAAGCACCCACGCTCTGACCCGCCCACCCCCGGTTTCCGTGTTCATTCAGTGGAACCCAGGGGCCAGCCAGGACGGCCCGACCCAGCTCGCCGGGCCTCGGAGCCGCGCCCGGGGCGACCCCGCCGGCCTCGACTCCCCGCAGCCTCCGGAAAGCGCACGCGGCTCCCTGGCGGGGCGGCGAGGCCGCTTCCGAGGCGGACCCCCGCGACCCTGCGCCTCTCGCGAGCCCACGGCACCCGCCCCGCGCGGCACCAGCTCGGGCCGCTCTAGGAGGCGGGCGGACCGGACCCTCAGCTCTATGGCTGGGCGCGCACTGCGCACGCGCCGGGCGGCCGGGTTTAACACCCGCGCGTCCGCGGAGGTGCCCGCAGCCCAGAGCCGGCCCCGCCCGGCCGTAGCGAGGGGCCTGGGAGCGGGGACAGACCCCTGGCCCGTCTGCCGGTTCTTGACCTGAATGTCGGAAAACGCCTCCCGGGAAAGCGCCCTGGGCGGGGTAGGTTCCGACTCCAGGACGAGTTCGCCCTCGGTTACCCGCGTTGCCTCCCCCGCTGCCCCTCCCCCGCGCGTGCTCGTCCCTTTCCCCCCAGGCCGGAGCATTGCAGGGCCTCGGAGCCCCCTGGGGCCTTGCGAACAGGCCGGTGGCCGGCCCCAGGGACGCAGTAGGCGGGTGGGAGCCGGTCCCGGTGCGGGCTGCTCAGATTCTGGGACCGCATTGGAGCAGCAGGGCCGGGACAACCGGAGACCTGGCGGTTAATCCCGCATTCCTGGGAAAACAGCTGGTTGTCTCTTCTGCCATCAGGAAAGGCCAGAGGGGCCCTAGCCGGTTTGGCCTGCAGACTGAAGGGTCCCGGGTTTGATTGTGAGCAAGGGCACATCCCTTCCTCTCTGAAGTAAAATAAAAATTATATGTATACATTAGAGGCCCAATGCTCGAAAATTTGTGCAAGAGTAGGCCTTCTTTCCACCGGCTGCCAGCATCGGCTTCCCTCCAGCACCTGGGACCCAGGCTTTGTCAGGAAGGACGTTGGGTCTAATTAGCATATTGCCCTTTTATCATTATATATACTAGAGGCCCTGTGCACGGATTTGTGCCTGGTGGGGGATGTTTCCTGCCGGGATCAGCTGCTCAGCCTGGTTAGCCAAGTGGTGCTCCCCTGTGGGAATGCACTGACCACCAGGGCAGCTCCTGTGTTGAGCATCTGCCCCTAGTGTCAGTGCGCATCATAGCGACTGTTGACTTGTTGGTCAGTTGCTGGTCTTTTTATTATATAGGGTCTGCTAAGGGGACCTTTTAACTGGGTTGTTTTGGAACGCACTGACCACCAGGGGGCAGACACTCAACACAGGAGCTGCCCCCTGGTGGTCAGTGCGCTCCCATAGCCAACCTCCTGCTGCTGGCCAACCTCCCGTGGTCCCTCCCCCAGCTGGCCAGCCCTGATCAGCCTGATCAGTACTGGGCGAGACACCCGATTGGGCCCCTATTGCCGGCCAGGCCAGGGTGCCCACCTGAGCACCAGGCCTCTAGTATCCTATATAATTAAAGGCTAATATGCAAATCGACCAAACAGCGGCGCTTTCTAAAAGTCTGCTTGCCAGCACAGCCATCATGACCACAGGATCAGGGTGGAAAGAAGGACTGAGATGGAGTGGGGAGTGGGCCGCAGAGCATCAGGGTAGGGAAGCTAGTACTGTGTTCTTGGGAATAAAGGGGGAATTAGGAGGAGAATTGAGACTGGTGAGACATGCAACTTGGTTAAGATGCTTGGAAGAAAAGGTACAGGTATGAGCCCTAGCCAGTTTGGCTCAGTGGATAGAGCGGCAGCCCACGGACTGAAGGGTCCCAGGCCTTTGGGGCGCATGTGGGAGGCAACCAATCTGTGTGAGAGATGTTTCTCTCTGTCTCCCTCCCCCCCTCCCTTCCACTCTCTGAAATCCAATGGGAAAAATATCGGGTGAGGATTAACAGCAAAAAAAGGTTCAGGTATGAGAAAATGGTGGCTGGCCGAAGTGATGGTTAAGGTAGAGGGAGAGGGCTTCCTGTTCCAGCCCAAGACCCTCTTGAAATATATGAAATCTTCAGAATGCATGAATGAGACCCTGATATACCTGTAAGGAGCTTGTTTGGGTCCAGCCCTCACAAGTAGCAAGTACAGACACTTTTTTTTTTTTAAACAGCATTACTGAGGCATAAAAGACATACAAGAATTAGCAAATGCTAAAACCATACGATTTGATACGTCTTGTCATATGCATACAACCATGAAATCACCACAATCAAAACAGTGAACACATGCAGCAACCCCCAAAAGTTTTCTCCTTCCCTTGGTAACACCCCCTCTCCTCCCACAGCCCCCTCCCAGTGGTCTGCTTTCTGTCGCTATAGAGTAGTTTTCATTTTCTAGAGATTTTACTAAGTGGAATCATACAGAATGCACTCTTTTTTGGTCAGGTTTCTTTCACTTATTTTGCGACTTACCTGTATTACCATGTGTGTCAATATTCCATTTCTTTTTGTGCTAAGTATTCCATTGGATATATATGCCACAATTTGCTTATCTGATGGGCATTTGGGTTCATTTTTTTTACTATTACAAATAAAACTGCTATGAACACTCATGTGTAAGTATTTACATGGACATATTTTTTTTTCTTACATGGTAGGTGTATGTTTAACAGTTTCAGAAACTGCTACACCGTTTGCAGAGCGGCTAAACCATTTTGCATCCCCACCAGCAGAGTATGAGAATGACATTGTTGACATACCACTTTTAACAGGTTTCTAGTAAAACAGAATGAGAAAGTTAATCGAAAGTTAATTCTCATGTACCAAGGGAGAGGGTTTTGTTGACCTTTTACCCAGGGGTGATGATGTGAATATAGATCTTCTGGGTGTTTAATCAAGAAAACCAAACAGGCCCTGACCAGTTTGGCTCAGTGGATAGAGTGTCGGCCTGCGGACTGAAGGGTCCCAGGTTCGATTCCAGTCAAGGGCATGTACCTTGGTTTCAGGCACATCCCCAGTAGGGGGTGTGCAGGAGGCAGCTGTTCGATGTTTCTCTCTCATTGATGTTTCTAACTCTCTATCCCTCTCCCTTCCTCTCTGAAATCAATAAATAAAATATATATTAAAAAAAAAAAGAAATGTAAATATCAATTTCCAGTTCCAAGTAAAAAAGGAACATAAATCCAAATTGTGAAGCCACATTTAAAAATTAACTTTTCTTTTGATCAAATCAATATTAACAAGTAGGCTGCTGCTGTGGGTTTTTTTTTTAACGTGACATCTAAATGGACAGTATGACATTTAAAAAAATATGTATTTATTTCAGAGAGGAAGGGAGAGGGAAATAGAGAAAGAAACATCAGTGATGAGAGAGAATCATTGATTGTCTGCCTCCTGCACAACCCCTACTGGGGATTGAGCCTACAATCTGGGCATGTGCCCTTGACCGGAATTGAACCTGGGACCCTTCAGTCCGCAGGCCAACACTCTATCCACTAAGCCAAACCGGCTAGGGCAACAATATGACATTTTTGACATGTTAACGTGCATGTCCCATTGACTCCGACTTTAAAAAAAACAGAACCAGTGTTGAAAAGTCAGGTTCAGAAAAGGAAATATTGGCCACTATAATCAGAGTTCCCAACGAAACACCACCAGACTTCCCCAAGACCTTTAAAGCTGAATTCAGATCAGGTAATGTCCTTTATCTTCAACCAATGAGGTCATTATGAAAAGTCTTCAATTCTAAGTAACTGAAGATCAAGTCACAGCAGTTTAAACAACCCTTGGTTTGTCTTTATCACAATGTTGTAGGTTGAACTGTGTCCCTGGAAAAATATATGTTTAACACCTAACCTCTGGTACCTGCAAATGTGACTTTATTTGGAAATAGGATCTTTGTAGATGTAATCAAATTAAGACAGGTCATACTGGATTAACATGGGCCCTAATCCAACCACTGGTGTCCTTGTAAGAAAAGGTAAATTCAGACACAGAGGAGAGGTGCCATGTGAGCGTGGAGGCAGAGACTAAAGTGAAGCATCCACAAGGCAAAGAACACCCAGGATGGTCGGCAGCCATTAGAAGTTAGGGCCAGGTCGGGGCCAGACCCTTCAAAGGGAGCATGGCCCTACCAGCACCTTTATCTTGGCCTTCTAACCTCCAGAGCTGTGAGAATACATTTCTGTTGCATGAAGCCACTCTGTTTGTGGTACCAGAAGTGGGGTGCTGCTGTAACAAACACCCAATAATGCAGATGTGTATTGAAATTGGGTAATGGCTAGAGGAGTTTTAAGGCTCATGATAGAAAAATAACTAGGATGCCTTGAAGAGATTGTTAGTAGAAATATGGACATGAATGGTGATTGTGGAGGGGGCTCAGAAAGAAGTGAAAAGGACAGTGAGAACTGCCCTCTCATCTCAGAGAATACATCTGTCGTCATGAACAGAATGTTGCTAGAAACCATGAGCATTAGAGATACTTCTGGTGAGGACTCAGACAGAAACAAGGGCTTGGTTCTTACAGACCCTGGTTCAGAAGCGAGGACGTTTCTTCCTATTGATGATCACTGAGTTGGGTAGCCGATCCCAGACTCAGAGTGACCTATGCGCTCTTGAAGTGCTCGGGAGGATTTGTGTGATAGAAAACTGTGTGTCCTATGGCAAAAGGCATGTACACGCTCCAGAGAAAGAAAACATGTTGGAGGCTAGAGGGACAGTTGGGACTGGAGTGTCTGCGTCCCATGACCTGGGGCCCAGGAAACGGGAAGCTGACAGGAACATAGGAATGGGAGGCCTGCCTTCCCAGGCTCCACTATTCCTCACTCTGTTCCCTCTCACCACCAGGCTTCCGGATGCTAAGCTACGGGGGGCAATGAATATTTGTTGAATTACCCCCTCAGATTCCTCAAAACTCAACTCTGCTAGTTTTTATTTTGGTAATTTTAGTTAACACATAATTGCCTTCAGCAATTAACACCTAAGAGAGAGTTTGATTCCTCTCCTATCATGTCCTGATTTCCCTTCCAGATACTGTTGCTTCTGAAGACTTGGTGATCAGAGCTGTTGTGGGTAAGAGGGATGTGAACTTGGGGTGAGAGTCTTGTGTCCAAAGGTTGTGGGATTATCATTACGTGAGGCCAATCAGAAGACTGAAGACTTCAAATGGATAGTTGCCTTTTTTTTTAATAGATGACGATCACGATTTCATGTTTTTAATAGCATTTAATAGTTTTTTTTCTGATTGTGAACTGCACATGTTAATAATACAGAAAATGAGGAAGTATAAATCACCCACAATCTCACTTCCCATAGGCACATTGTTAACATTTTGGAGTATTTTCTGTTTGTTTGTTTTTATCCCAACCTTAATTTTTTTGGTAAAAATCTTGTTTGGGAAATCATTTTTAGTGACCGATTTTTAACATTTTTACTTCAACTGTTTAGCACTAGAATGTAATGCAAGATGTATTGTAATAAAATTTGAGTTTTAAGTTTTGCTTTGAAATTATTCCCTCAGGAGTAAGGAGCACAAGATCATGATTGGAGATGTGCTGGAGGATGGGGGGAGTTGTGGGAAGAGGCCAGGGAATTGGTGTTCTTTGCTTTTATTCCCTGGGCCAGAAAGTGTCTGGAAACTGGCAGCTAGTCCCTGGGGCAGCAGTTCACTAGGTACACTTGGGGCTTCACTGTGGTTGAAAGACCATAGGAGTGAGAATAAGTAGCCTCTTTTTAAAAATATATATTTGTATTGATTTCAGAGAGGAAGGGAGAGGGAGATAGAAACATCAAATATGAGAGAGAATAATTCATCAGCTGCCTCCTGCATGCCCCACACTGGGGATTGAGCCCGCAACCCGGGCATATGCCCCAACCGGGAACGAACCGTGACCTCCTGGTTCATAGGTTGCTGCTCAACCACTGAGCCACACCAGCCGGGCCACAAGTAGCCTCTTGAAACACATACACACATCTGTGCCCACCTTTGAGAGCAAGAATCAGAGCAATTGCCATGGCCTTCCCTTCCTCTCTCAGTAGGTCCATACTTATAAAGAAAAAAAGCCCATGACCTTTTAGATCTGTGACCAGCCAATAAGCCAGCTGCCAGTGACAAAGTTTGAGTAGCAATGTCAGGTTCTGGCCCATCAAAAGCAGGAGGTGAATGGGCATAAGTGGGGTCTGCCCACAGAGCTCACCTTTCCTCTTGATTTTGCAGAAATGCTCTCCTGGTCAGGTCTTCTGCATGGAGGTCAATCTACCTGGCAACCCCCTGTGGTCTGAGGATTCACTTTATGGGCAAGAGAAGCAAAGGAGTTCATAGGGCTGCTTGGAGAGACCAAGGTCAGATTCGCTTAATTTCTAATCCTCTCAGCTGGACAGTGTAAATTGAAGCCTCTGGAAATGAGGGAGAAGAGGTAGGAAACTGATATTAAGCACCTTGTCTAAATTGCACATTATCTTTATCTTGTTTATTTTTTAAAATGTTTTTATTTCAGAGAGGAAGAGAGAGGGAGATAGAAACGTCAATGATGAGAATCAGATTGGTTGCCTCCTACACGCCCCCTACTGGGGATCTGAGCCCATATCCTGGGCGTGTGCCCTGACCAGGTATCAAACCATGACCTCCTGGTTCATGGGTCGATGCTTAACCAGCCAGGCTGCACATTATCTTTTAAAATCTGTGGATCTGGACCTAGCTGGTTTGGCTCAGTGGATAGAGCGTCGGCCTATGGACTAAAGGGTCCCGGGTTCAATCCCAACCAAGGGCACAAGCTTGGCCCTCAGTAGGGGGCGTGCAGGAGACAGCCACTCGATGATTCTCTCTCATCATTGATGTTTCTTTCTCTTCCTCTTCCTTCCTCTCTGAAATCAATAAAAATAAAATCAAATCTATGAATCTGTTGTGCAAGATCCATTTAAGGTTAACATTGTTCCCCCCTGGACTGCCTCTATCCCAAAAGAAACAAGGCCTGAGCAAAAGGGAAAGACATGAATTACTTTCCATCCAGCTGGTGAAGGAAAAAACAATTACCTTTGACATCTAGCTTATATTGGTGCCCTCCCCTCCCCTTTATATACACGTAGAATGTTGAGGCTCTAACTGTAAGGGATCACCTACTTCAGCTCCTTTAAACTGAGGGTCCAGACTGTCAGGTGACTTGCTTACAGCTGCAGAATGAATGGAAAAGAACTAGCAAGAACAAAGGTCTCTGCTTCAAGGCTATTCCTTTTCTCACCTGTAAATCTCCTTCATGCAAATAGTTCACATTTGCAGACTTATAATTTGTAGCAGACATTGTGTATATATTAGTGTGAGATGGGTATGTCTACCATTGTCATTTACCAACAAGGAAGTCACAATCCGAGTTAACAAGTTAGCTAATCTCCTAGGACTTGGAAGAGATGCTATGGAGAGTATGTGCTTTTCTTAATACTTCTCCACTACCCTGGGCTTCCACTCCCTTTCATACCCTTTCTCTCTAATTTTAGAGTTTTAAATATTTATTGCAAGAAAATTTGGAAGACACAGAAAAGTGTAAGAGAAAATGAAATAATCTATGTCATCACTCAGAACCAATATAGCACTTTAAGATTTATTTCCAATATTTAATGCATAAATATATTTTTACATGGAATCATACTGTACATAATTGTCTTTTATTTTTACATAAGATAATAATGCTTTGTCATTTATATCAACATCACTTTTAAGACTGTATACATCCCTGCTGGTTTCTGAAGCATAATTTATAGGTAGAATGTGAAAGTCAAAAGGCAATGCTTAAGGCTTCTGGTTTGATTGCCAGAGGCAGTATCTACTCACATCCCACTTGCAACATCAGCGTCCCAGTTTCCCTGAATTGTTGTGTGAGGGACATCTCAACTCTTGCTTCAATATAGCGTTTTTAATTCCAGCAAGGCTGAACACTTAGTGTGCATTGAATTTATTCTTTTGTGTTTTGCCTATTTAAGAAACCTTTTTTCTGTTGTGACTTTCTAATGGGGAGACAGTGTAGAGAAACAGAAGGGTTCTGGATTCCTACTGCCTGGTTCAGTCTAACCTCACCACTGTGTAGCGACATGACACAGAGTAAGCCGTGATCCTAAGCCTTCATTCCTCGTCTGCAAAATATGGGCGTCTGACAAATAACGAGTACATATACACAAAGCCCAAACAAGTACCTATTGCGTTTCTTATTGATCTCTGTAAGAACTCTCTGTGTAAAGAATATCCTCCTTCTGTAATAGATGGTGTATCATTCCTAGTTAGTTTGTCCTACCCTTTCAGTTTGGATCTTTCTCTGTGGAAGAAAACAGGAGTTGACTAGCTCTTGTTACATGTTACCATCTTTTCCAAATGATTCTCTCCCTTTCTTTTTTCATTCTAAGCTTGAGCAGTTAGCCCTCCTGCCGTTCCTGCTGGTTAATACATGCTCATCTGCGTATGCCCCAACTGGAGTACTCCCTCTCTATTTATCCTCTGCATGCCCATAGGTTTCTATTTTTGGTGAGTGATAACTGTTAGGTATTTTGAATAACATGTTTTTCTGTTGCTGGCTAGCTTATACCCCTTTCCACATTGTAGAGAAGTACCAGTCTAGGGGTACTTTTCCGGCCCGGTCCCTCAGAAGATGGGAATCTCTGGATGGACCATGACTGTTGCCACTTCCCTTTAGCTTTGTCTTGAACCGAATTCATGAAAGACTGAATGCTGCTGATATAAAACAAAACTGCGTGTGAGGTGCTTGGAGAATAAGTCACAGACCCAGCAACTGACAAATGTTCTTCAGCACCAGAGCCCAAGGCAGTGCAGGAGGAACTGTGGGGGTGCAGCCCCCAGTGATATGGTAGCCATAGCAGCTTCTGATCCTGAGCACTGGAAGGTGGAAGTTGATAGCAGCTTTGTCAGTCTTACTGGTAAGAACCAAAGATGTCCTTCTTTCTGGGAGAGGGACATTTAGACAGACTCTCAACCTCCAGGCTGGGGTCTTTCTGGCCCCACCCCCACCCCCACGAAAAGTCTAGCCTACAGGTAGGGCAAGGAAACTACTTATTAACCCTTTTCTGGGTCACACCAGACGAAGACAAAACTCACCACCCCGTGGTCCAAGGACTCCAGGGTTTTTCTATTAACAAACTTCTCCTGGCTCCTATTTTACTGTAGGCACTGCTGAAGAGACTGGCTGCATCCACACGTCTTACAAACCTGACTACTTCCCCAGGAACTCACCCGGCATGCTCCACACCAAGGGGACTTTTAATTTCTCAGACTTTCTTCCGGGCCTGTATCTATGTTCCCCCTCATCCTTCAGATCATTTTTCCTTGACCAAGGTTGGGTTAGGGACTCCTTAATGGCACGTGGCACTGATCATACTAGTGTCATTGCTGGTTTGCTCTGCTCATTAAACTGTACAAAATGTCTTTATTTTCCATTATACCTAGTTCCTGGCACAAAGCAAGCACTCAAAAAGAACTGCTGGATAAATTAATCTGAATTATTGTCTCACTCTGGTCGACCCTGGGCTCATTAAATCACTAATGAAACTGTTCCCCTATTGGTCTTGCTGTCCTGTCACTGTTCTTAATGGATTAGTAAACTTTTGCATTCCTGAGACAAAATGTCCCTCATATTGTCCACACCGTCCCCCAAGCCTGGCACACCAGCGATCGAACGCAGTGACAGAGCATGGACGGCTTACCCTCTTCATGACATTCTCCTGGAAACTGAGGTTTCAATGCAAAAGTCCCATTTTTCCTATTTCCTGAGTATTCCTAATGATGAGAGAAAAGGAGGAAGCAACAATTCTTCCATCTACTGTTCTGACTAGTCACAGGAAAAGCTTTCAAGGGACAATGTGCATGCGCACGGGGTAGTGCTGCATAAAGTCAGACTGACTCGAGACCTAGGAGTTCACAACCTTCATGGAGTCTTGCTCAAAGTAAACCCTTTTGATTAACAAACATAAACATCTGACAGAAGTATTTACAATATTCATTGTATTCACCAGTTACTTTACAGTGTGGACTCTCTGATGGCGCATGAGGACTGATCTGTGCCGGAAAGCCTTCCCACATTCATTACATATATAAGCCTCATCCCCAGAGTGGATTCTCTGATGCTGAACCAGGGCTGAGCTCCTTTTGAATGTTTTGCCACATTCAATACACTGATAAGGTTCCTCTCCACTATGAATTCTCTGATGTCTAATGAGGTTTGAGCTCAAACTGAAGGCTCTTCCACACTCATTGCATTCATAGGGCTTCTCTCCACTATGTATTCTCTGATGGGTTATCAGCTCCGAGCTCTGCCTGAATGCTTTCCCACATTCATTACATTCATAAGGTCTCTCTCCTGTGTGGATTCGCTGGTGTCTTACAAGCTTTGAGCTTTGGCTAAAGGTTTTCCCACACTCATTACACTCATAGGGTTTCTCACCAGTATGAATTCTTTGATGGATGATGAGATATGAACTTTGACTGAATGCTTTGCCACATTCATTACACTTACAAGCTTTCTCACCTGTATGAATTTTCCGATGTCTAATGAGGGCCGAGCTCTGATTGAAGGCTTTTCCACACTCACTACATTCATATGCTTTCTCACCACTGTGGATTCTCTGATGAATAATCAGATACGACCTCAAGCTAAAGGCCTTCCCACACTGGCTGCATTTGTAGGGCTTTTCTCCGGTATGGATTCTCTGATGTTGTGTTAGAGAGGAATGCTGTTTAAAGCTGTGCCCACATACATCACATCTATGAGGTCTCTCTTCCGTAGGAACTTTCTGAAATGTTCTAGAGCTTGTACTTAGAATCAGGCTTCTCTGGGGCTCATGGTGGAATCTCTTTCCTAGAGATCTGTGTGTGATGGCTTGACTACAACTGCCTGCTGGGGAAGGGGAGCTTCCTAATTTCTCCCCTGAAGCACTTCCTTGCAGCCTCTTGAAGTGGCTTTTGTGTTCACTAATTCTTCCGAATGAGAGTTCCTGGAGAAGTCCTGCTTTTCCTCCTGAAATATCCTTCTTTGCCGCTGATCCATTGTTCTCACAATCTGAAATGATAATAGCAAAAACCAGATTTTTAGTTTCTCCAATCACTCTCAATACTTTCTTTTTTTTTTTTTTTTAAATATATTTTATTGATTTTTTACAGAGAGGAAGGGAGAGAGTTAGAGAGTTAGAAACATCGATGAGAGAGAAACATCGATCAGCTGCCTCCTGCACATCTCCTACTGGGGATGTGCCTGCAACCCAGGTACATGCCCTTGACCGGAATCGAACCTGGGACCTTTCAGTCCGCAGGCCGACGCTCTATCCACTGAGCCAAACCGGTTTCGGCAATACTCACTTTCTATGTGAGAGAAAACAGATGCTCCAACCACAAAAGATGTCACTATTCACATATATCTGTAACACTGACTCTGTGGACAACACCTCCCTTCCAGAAACAGCTATATTAGCCTGATTTCTGTGGCTGTTCCTTCTCAGAGTCAAGACCAACCACTCAAACATGAGTTCCTTCAAATTTTGTGCTGGGCTCTCATGTATCATCCCCAGTCTACAAAATGTCCATCCCCTAGACTTCAATTACTAATGTACTTATGTTATACGCTAATCAGATCCCCAGTTCTATCCTGTTTCCTCTGATAAGCTCTAGACTTGCATATCCAATGCTGACTGGACATATTACTTGTGAATATTTCACAAGCACCTAAATACATCATCCGTGTGTTTTTTCCTTTATGTTTTCCATGTATATGAAATAGGCCCACTATTAACCAAGCAGTTTAAGACTGAAACCTGAAACCTCAACTCCTAGCCACATGCTCCACTTTAACAATGACCAGCTACTACAATACAATAAATACCGATAAGCAGGAGTCGGCTTTGATATTCCCCACCTCTCACCACAATACACCTTGATTTATTCACCGTGGCCACTTGATTATAACAGTTTCTAACAGGGCTCTATCTACTCTTACCTTAAAATGCATTCTCCATCCTGCAACTAAATTTTAAAACACACACCCAATCATGTCATTCCCTTGTCCAAATCCCTTCACATGTACCCACTGCACTGTACAAACTAAGTAGAATGACATACAGGTTTCCACAATCTGGGTCCCATTTTCCTGTCTAGTTTCTCTTACCACCTCTCCTCTATAAATTCTCTGTTCAAGTTAAATAGAATTTTCTGCAATTCCTACAATGGGCTATAGTCTCTCACCTTTAGGACTTTGCGGCCTTTGCTTGTGTGATACTATCTAATAAAGAGGGAATATGCTAATTGACCCTCACACTGTCACAAAGATGGCAGCACCCACAGCCAATGAGGGAATATGCTAATTGACCGCCCTGCCCTCAAAAGATGGCGGTGCCCACAGCCAATAAGGAGGGAATATGCAAATTGACTGCCTGCCTTCGAAGATGGCGGCGCCCACAGCCAATAAGGAGGGAATATGCTAAATGACTGCCTGCCCTCAAAGATGGCGGTGCCCACAGCCAATAAGAAGGGAATATGCTAATTGACTGCCACACCCTAAAAGATGGCGGCGCCCAGTCCCATCAGCCCCGCTGGGGTGGCAGCCACGTGCCTGCCTCCGGAGTCCCCCAGTCCCCTCAGCCCCCCAGGACTGCCCGAGGCTCAGGTAACCAGGGCCAGCCGAGGCTTGCGCTGCTGGCAGTGGCAGCAGCAGAGGTGTGATGGAGCGTCACCTTCCCCTGATCACTGGGTCGCCTCCTACCCCTGAGGGCTCCCGGATTGTGAGAGGGGGCAGGCCGGGCTGAGGAACCACCCTCCAGTGCATAAATTTTCATGCACCAGGCCTCTCGTATTATAATTAACTAGAGGGCCAGTGCATGGGTAGGGTCCCTAGGCCTGGCTGGCCATCAGGGCCGATCGGGGCCTTCCGGCTGCTGGCCAGGGTCTTTCTTCCTTTGTTCCACACCGCCCCCTGGTGTTCAGCGCACATCATAGCGAGCGATTGAACTCCCAGTCTCCTGGTCAAACTCCCACGGGGACAATTTTCATATTAGGCTTTTATATATATAGATATTTGTTCTTCATCCCCAGTTCTGGGCACAGTGTTTAAATTTCCTAAGTGGTAGATGTGAGAGGAGTGCCTTCTGTTATTCATAAGCCCCTACCAACCATACCTGGGTTTATGCTAATGAGTTGACTCTTGGAGGTAGGCTGATTGCCATAGGAACCAACCAAGTGATTAGAACATTGGAACTTTCAGCCCCATTCCCTGACCTTCAGGAAGAAGGGCTGGGTTGAGTTAGCTAATCATCAACAGCCAATGATTTAATCAATTGTGCCCAGGTAATGAAACCTCCATAAAAACCTTAAAGGGATTCAGAGAGCTTCCAGGATGGTGAATGCATCCACATGCCAGAAGAACGGCACCCCAAACTTCACAGCTACAGAAGCTCTGCACTCAGGACCTTTCTGGACTTTACCTTATGTACCGCTAGTTCATTTGTATCCTTTATAATAAATCAGTAGTAGTAAGTAAGGTGTTTCCCTGAGTCCTGTGAGTCATTCGAGCAAATTATGAAACCTGGAGGGGTCGTGGAACTGCCAATTCACAAAAGTCAGATGTGTGGTAACCTGGACTCGTTACATGCAACTGGCATCTGTAGTGGGGGTCAGTCTTGTGGGACTGAAACCTTAACCTGTGGGATCTGCACTCATTTTGGGGAGCTAGTGTCAGAACTGCTTACTGTGAGGGAAAACCTCATACATCCGGTGTCAGAAATATTGAGACAGTCTTTTCCTTTAGCCTATTTTCCCACCTATTTACGTGGATTCTTCCCACTTCTAGTTCAAGTCTTAGATGTGTCTTTAAGAATTATTCCTTGAACCGCTAAGATTGGATATAGTGCCCAGTGCCTACTCTTATTCTGTAATTTACTACACTATACTGCAATTGCCGTTTTGCTTGTCCACCACCTACATAAACCTGAAAGTTATGAGACCCAGTGCCTATCACCATATCAGACATGTATTAGTATCCAGGTAAGATATATAATGAAGGAATAAGTAAAGAAACAACAGGGCAACCGATACAAGGAAGCCTGACTAATTTGTTAAGGTTGCTGAATACAAAGTGGCTAAATTCTAGGTCAGAGCACCTCTGGCCTAGAATAATAAAGGTGAGGCTTACATGTGGCATGTTTGTAAAATGCAATTCATTGTGTATCTTCAAGGCCAGAGGCCTAATTGATAACAGTTCCCAGATGAGTTTCTGTTTCTTACCACTTTGGGAGGAAAGGCAAGGCTTCAGCTGTGCCTTTAAAGGCTGGAGTTGGATGTTTAACTCGTGGGATGCTCCAAGCCGTGTCCAATCCTTCCAGGGTAATGCTTGTCCTTGCGGACTAGCCGGAATCTGAAACCAGTAAAATATGGTTAGCGTGGTGAGAAAATCCCTAGGGAAACGCTTAGTAAAAACCTCAGAGGTTAACGAAGACCTCCCCGGGCATGAGGGACAAGGGAAAAACAACTACTTATGGTAGAGAAGGGCATGGCCCTCGTAGTCACGTCAGGGTCATGGTTCAGCAGAGACAAATTTTCATCCTGCTGTTATGATGACGCCACATGCTCCAGTGTGTAAATTCCTTTTCCCACAACACAGTGCATCTCCCAGTCCCCACCTGCTGTCCAGGATCATCAAATTCCCTCTCCAAATCCTCCAACAGAGTCACGGCTTCCTCGCCACTTTTTGGACCATATTGCTGAACCCAGGCCTGCAGCTCCTCGGGCAGGATGCTCAGGAACTGCTCCAGCACCAGCAGCTCCAGAATCTGCTCCTTCGTGTGCAACTCCGGCATGAGCCACTGGTAGCACAGCTCCTGGAGTCGGCCCAGGGCCTCCCGGGGCCCAGGTGTCTCCTGGTAGCAAAACTTTCTGAACTGCTGGCGAAACAATTCTTGGCAAGATCGGGTACTCCCATTCTGCTTTAATTTCTGCCCCCAGGGAAGGCTTTCTTCTACTTTCACTAGTATTAGTTCTCGTTCCTGAGGATCTGGAGGTAGCAGGGTTGAAACGGCTCTGGATTCCATAGCCATTCCGGCCTGAAACAGCTGATAAAAAAAATTCACAACTGGGTTCTCTACTTCAGAAGTTCTTTGAGTAACCTCTTCTTTCCTGAAGGGTGAAAAAGCACTGTTAACTTACAGCAGTGAAAAAAAAACCTCGAAGAACTGATAATAATAAACATCAGTCAGCCCAGTAACATACTGAAAGGGAGCTAGTTTGAGATTGTAAATAAATAATAATCAAGTGACAAACTAAAAATCACTCATGTCTTTCTCCGTCTCCTATTTTGCAGGATTTCTACCACCAATTCTATAAGAAATTATTTTAGAAGCAAAATAATGCAATATTAACATGAGTCACATACTGAGAAATTTCCTTTTTAATTCTTTCAATTCTGATGCATTGAGGAGAAAAATCTGTCTTTAACACATATGTAAAACTTGCAGAACTCTTTTTTAAAAAATGTATTTTTATTGATTTCAGAGAGGAAGGGAGAGGGAGAGAAACATCAATGATGAGAGAATCATTGATGGACTGCCTCCTGCAGGCCCCCCACTGGGGATCAAGCCTGCAACCCGGGCATGTGCCCTTGACTGGAATCAATCCCGGGACCCTTCAGTCCACAGGCCGACGCTCCATCCACTGAGCCAAACCAGCCAGGGCAGAACTCCCTCTTTAATAAAGTTATACACCTCACACTACCAAGGGTAACAGTATCTAGCTTGGATTTAAAAATGCTGATTTTAAAGTATATATTTTTAGTAACCTATCTACGGCAAATAGTGTTGATTCATTTAAGGTAGTAAAACACTTTTAAAAAATGCATATTAAACATTATTTGATTTAAATAAAAAATATTTTTGACTATTTGCCATTTGATCAATGTTGGTATTCACTGAATTTCTTCAAGGATCACTGAGGAACGAATTACGGGCTCTGTCCGGAGCCCGGTAATAGGATGCAAAGGTGTTTGCTCCTGAATAAATGGCTCTCCCTAGGAATAACCAAGAAGAACTTGTTAAATGCTTACCACGTGTTCCAAACCCTGTCAGATATAGAGTCACAAGTGAAAAGCCAGTCTCAGCTCTCAAGAAGCTTAGGATAAACCGGAGTAGACATTTTTAAAAAGTGAAATATGGCAACGAGCATGTATTACATTTTCTGATAAAGGCCAGGCAGGCTCTGCCGTTGGGATGGGGGACTGTCCACAGGAGGGTAGGTATGCCCTTGAGTGAGCAGGACAGTAACACTTAACCCCAACACGCCCATCAGCTGGCGAGGTGAGAATATTGAGGCTGCAAATCTGTGGTTTATTCAGCTCCGCCGCACCGGCCTTTCTACTTTATATTCGGTTCGGCCGCAGCATTTGCAAGATCGGGGCGGTGGGGAGCAGTGCCCTCCCCGCGGGACGCAGGGGACCCGCGCGCCGGCCTCACCGCGTCCCCAGGTCGCCAGCAGGCGCGGCCCCACGAGGGGCCGCGGCCCCGGGGACGGGCCGCCGAGGAGCGGGCTCTGCCCCCCGCGCCCTCCCGCCTCCCTCCGCCTCGGGGCCCGCGTCCCTCACCGCAGAGCCAGCAGCGGCGAGCGGGCCAGCGACCCGGCGGCGAGACACAAAGACCGGAAGTGCACCCCCGTGGCCTTCCGCCCGCGACTCCCCGAGCCCCCTCCGCCCCGCCCCGCGCTCACGGGCAGCCAATCCGCGCCCTGGATCCTGTCCTTCCCACCGCCCGCCCCCGGCGTCCGCGGAGCCAGGACTCCCCGCCGGGGGCGTGGACGGCGCGGCGGAGGGGCGGGCAGGCGGGGGCGCCGTGAGAGGCCGCCCCTCCCCACCTGGGCCGCCCGCCGCCCACCTCCTCCCACCACCTTCTTCTCCCTCCACCCTCCGCCGCCCTCCATGTTGACGCCAGGTCACTCCCGGTGCGTCCACCTCCGATGCTTTAGGAACGTGTTCCTGTATTCCCAGTGCTGTTCCCGGGTCTCCCACAAAATCCACACGTGGACAAACAGGCCGAATAAATGGTAACGACCTGTGTTGCTCTGCTCAGCAGCTCGGCTGTAGCCACGTCTCCCCGGGTCGGGTCGCAGCCGCAGGCGCTGCCCAGAGCCAAGCCGCCCTCGGGCTGAGGCGCCGGTCCCCCAGCGAGGACGCGGGGCTCTCCCGCCCCCGCCCTCCGAGCGGGTCTCGTGGTCACGGACCCCAGCTGCCAGGAAACGTAGTATTTAGATTTCCCTTGGCCATTTAGTGGGTAAAAACGGTGTGTCCTGTTGTATTTAAACTCGGTAGCTTGGGGATAAGGTAGTTCCCTCTCCTGGTTACTGACCATGTACGGTTCATCAGTGGCTTTTCCCATGTTTAAAGTTGCAAACATTTCCCCTTTTATTTGTATTTATTTTTAAAATGTTAGTACAAGGTGACATACATAAAAAGACACGTATTTGGGGAAAAATTCATTAGCATGCAGAGCTATTAGTGACTTACTAACTCATTCTTTTTTTTTTTAAATATTTTTATTGATTCCAGAGAGGGAGGGAGAGGGAGAGACAGAAACATCAATGCCTCCTGCACGCCCCACGCTGGGGGTGGAGCCCGAAACCTGGGCACGTGTCCTGACCAGGTATTGAACCCTGACCTCCTGGTTCATAGGTGGATCGCTCAACCCCTGAGCCATGCTGGCCAGGCGGCTCATTCTTCATCACTGTGAAGTGAACATGGCAGGTTTACAAAGCCAGAGAACAGATGAGATTGCCTGTGTTTCAGCTCTTTGCATCCAGCCTCCTATATCGAGAAGCCTACCACTTAGGAGCGGAACTGTTGAAGGAGAGAAGGAATGCTTTCAGCGGTGGGAGGAGAAAACCGTCCTAAATGTCCATCATTTAAGCCTTTTGTCATCCCACTCAGCTAGCTGTGTGAAGGGAAGGCGCGCCCAGGGCTGGGTAATCCCATGGCCCGATGACATCGTCCCAGGACCAGGTCCCCTTCCTGTGTCTGCTCTGCCCTCTTAGCGTCTCGGCTTGTTCTGCACGCTGCCTCCCTCACGGCCCTAGCACAGCTGTTTCAGTGCAGATGACAGAGGATGCCAGAAGCAGAGAAAGGGAGCACCTGCCCTTCTGCCCTTTTGAAGACGAAGGAAAGCCTCCCAGCTCAGCAGATTTCCCCTCATAGCTCATTAGGTTACATGTCAAGGCCTCTCACCAACAGGGGGTGTGGGCAAGGTCTCCAGGATGGACTGGCGCAGAGCTGAGGGGAGGCCAGCGACAATCTGGGGAAGGTGAACAAAATAAGGGTGTTACGAAGACTGGTGTCTGGGCTTGACCTGACGGATGCCATCTTTTTATTTATTCTTAAATAATTATATATATTTTTTATTGATTTCAGAGAGGAAGGGAGAGGGAGAGAGAGAAACATCAACGATGAGAGAGAATCACCGATTGGCTGCCCCCTGCAACCCCCTTCCCCCAACTGTGGACGGGGCCCACAACCTGGGTATGCACCCTTGACCGGAACTGAACTGGGGACCCCCAAGTCCACTACTCCATCCACTGAGCCAAACTGGCCGGGGCCTGATGCCATCTTAAGAAGCAAGTTGCTCTCAGTGATCAGCAGTCTGCGCTGGGAGGAGGGGCCCGTAGCACCTGAAAGCAATGTTCCTGCATAGAAAAGGAGGCCAAGTCCGTCGCTGACTGCTTTAGCATGCACAGTGCCTAACGAGCACGTGCCATTTGGCTACAAGCCACCTGCTTAACGAGCACCAGTTACTCAGCTATAAACCACCTGCGAATGAGCACGTGGCATGGCTGCAGGTCACCTGTGTTCTTGGAGGCTTATATATGAAGCTGCATCCGCTTCTGGGTGTGAAGGTTTCACTAACTCGCTGCGGCTCCAGTCTCTGCTTCTGTCTGTAAGTTCCCCTAATAAACTTGGTTTAATTCTGGAGCTGTCAGCCCCTTTCTTCGGTCTGTGGGCCCCTTAGAGGTTGGTTTGAGTACACCTCAGGGAATTTCCCCAGAGGGGCTATGTAAAGAGGCAGAAATGTTAAAGGCAGAAAAAGAGGAGAGGCAGATGAGTGTTGACTGTGTAATAGTGGCATTTGCCTCAAGAGATAATCTCATTTCTTACCTAAGTAGGCAAGAAAGTGACACACTAGGAAAAAACCTCAAATTCCTATCATTCCTTATAAGGTGGTACATACTATATTTAAAATGCAAATTAATTACTTAATTACAAGATATGTAGACCGAAGATTTAGAGCTAATTTCTAGGACTTGGTTTAAATTTCCAGTGGGATAGCAACCGATTACCTTTTAAGAGCCTTAACCAACAATTTCTACTTATATGGTGTTTTAGCCCATTTGGGCTGCTAAACTAAGGATACCATAGACCAGTGGCTCATAAAAAATGGGCATTTATTTCTTACAGTTGGAGACTGAGGAGTCGGAGGTTAAGGCACCAACAGCTTCAGTGTCTGGCGAGGCCTCACTTCCTGATTCGTACACTGGTGATCGGTGAGTACAGCTATCCATTCAGTCAGGTTCAACTGCTTGCATTACTGTATCATTCAACAGCGCTCTACTTCCTGGTCTTCATCAAGGTTAGACACGCGTGCTGACAGTCCCTTAGCTGTAAGCCACCCGTCGGTAATGACGGATAGATACAATGGCTTCTGATGCTGCAGGGAAATGGGTCATTCCCTCATTCGGTGATTATTACTGAACATTAGTATATGCGAAACACTGGTACGAAAAGTGAGGGGCTCACATGAAGTGAAAGATAGGCCTCCTCGCTTTACTTACCACTCATAACTCCCAGCGTGTGAACTCCACTAGAGCAGGGGTTCTGCGTTTCCGGTGTTACCTCTCCGGTGTGGTCCCGCATCCGTACGCGTTGAATTTCATTACCAGGAGTGAAAATGAGCGCCCAAAGGGAAACATTGGGGCCAGCACGTTGGGGACAAATGGGACAAGCGGGTCTGGGCAAAATAATGTATTGGTTACAATTTCAGGTTCAAGTCCCGGACTTCTCAGTTATTAGCTCTGTAATCTTGTGCAGACTTCTTAAATTTTCTGTGCCTCAGTCTCCTTTTCTGAAAAAATGAGGAAAGTTGTAGTACCTATGCCATAGGGTTGTTATGAGCATCAGGTGGATTAACCCATGTAGAACAGTGCTCACTGAATGTGCTCTGTTGTCGGTGTTTGGTGAGGGAGGGTTGAGTTGTTGAGAGTGTGGAGGCTGGGAGAAGGAACATTGCCACACATCTGAATTTGCCTGGTGGTCAGAATTATTTAGGGTCTTTGCTAAAAGCACATATTTCTGGGCCTTCAATCAGCACGCCTAGGAAGAGTTGTAGGAATTTATATTTTTGACAAATACTGGAAATGATTCTTACCAAGTTAGTTTGGGAAACTGATGTGGTAGGTGGAGTGTAGACTTCTGACAGATGTGGGTTCTGATCCATTCTTTAAACGGTTATGTCCAGGTGTCCACATGGACAAAGGACTGATTTAAGTGCTGGGCATCCAGCAGAGTCTAAAACCAACACAAATCTCTCATTTTTGTGCTTATAGATCTGATATGGCCTACTGGGATCTCTCCTCTAAGACACCAAACGGGGCTTCCCTGAGTGACTTGAATGAACTTTTTAAACAAACAGAAAGCTTTATTTCCTTGTCATAAAGCATTACAAGTTCATGAAAGAAAAAAAAAATAAATCAGAAGCTAAAAGCCATAGTTCTGATGTTGAAGAGGGAAATCCTCAGTTGCCCAGAGGCCTGATGTTCACATGAAGTGAAATTAATTGGGAATGGAAAAGAACCTGGTGCAGCTGGTGGTTTGGTGGTGGTGGTTTCCGAGTGTTTGACCTGTAATTGGGAAATGGAGCCACCTGACCACAGAAAAGCAGCTAAGACCAGATTTGGTTTCCCTGGGGGCTGGGTGTTCGTTTTCGTCTGATTGGCTAGTTGCCAAGACTAATAGGTTGTTTTGACAAATCTCGTCAAAGTTGCCCTTTGAAAGGGAGATGATGGCAGCCGGATGTTCGTTTCCTCCTCCCCCAGGAAGATCGGACCAAACAGGAATATCTTCACGTTGTCGATGGCTTCACTCTGTGGACATGTAAGAGGACATATGTACCTTTGAAAATGGTGTTGTTGCTCTCTTGTCAGGGAATACCAACAAGTATCTGACAGTGGTTTGACTTAGAGGTTAATTTAACATAACCGGTGTCCGATCTACTTCTGGGACCAAAGCAGGACTGGTAACGCCATTGATTTTGTTTTGTTCTTAGTAAATGGGTTAAAGAACACCAGTGCCAAGATTAATGCAGTGACGACTTTTAATTTAATTCTGGAAAATACATATAAAGTGTAAAATATTGTCTTCTTTGAATCTCTTCCGTGTTCAGTGTTTGCCCTGTGAGGTATAGGTGTGGATTTATTTCACACGGGGTGTGGTGGGTTACTGTTCTCGCTACTGGTTGTGCTTATGCTCTAAGTACAGTAGAAACATCATTGAAAACAAAACTGTGCTTTGGACTTTGCTGTTGGGGGAAGGAGGTGTTCTTTACAGTGGCGTTTCAGACAGTGGATGCTTGACCCTGAAGAGCCAAAGTGACCACAG